GTAGTGCGAACGTTCCGCGGCTTTATTCCGTAACTTTATTACATCATTATACGTTTTGCAATGTGTATCGAATAAAAGAAACGTCAAACTGGAAAGTTGTCATTTTCATCGATTTATTCGCACGTCGATCGGTTTTTATTTATCATCTATTTGCGGCAATATAATAAATTTGCGGTCTTTTGTGCACGCGTTATTCTCGCAATTTCCGCGTGCATTAATATTTTAAATTTTATACCAGAAGATTAATTGTATTATGTCGTTTATATTGGCAAATTCAATTATACGAGCGCAATAATATAACGAACGCGTTTTTGTGCGCGATATAAATTGAATTTTGCATTATGCACGATAAAAATATAATGGAGAAATAATTCGAATTACTTCGCGTGTAGTCGATACGCAAGGGTAAATCAGGTCAGATCAATGATCGTAGATCAAAGCACGATTTGATCGATTGAATTCCGATCACGTAGCGGAAGAGGACTCGTTCATATGACCGACGCACACCAGGGACGACGTGATTTTCACCTTGACCGTGAATAGGTCATTGTCCACTGGTCCGGCATCGCGAGATGGTCGACTTTTCGAATCCGTTAACTAATTGATGTTAAAATAAATTAACTTATAAAATTATAAATCCTTATATATTGTATAAATGTAATGACAATTTATATGATTGAACAGGATTAAGTAAAGTATATAATTTGTAACAAATTAGAATCAAACAAATTCTGAATGCGCGCGAAATTTTTTCGATATATTTGTAAAAATGGTGATAGTAAACGTGATTTGAATATTGTTCGACGGGTTTTATAAGAGTATAACTTAGGGGAAGGCAAAAGTTTTTTAAAACATTGCGACATTGATGGATCAAGCCACACAGATTGTGAATTTATTTCGAAGATTGCGATATTAAAGGATATTAAAGGACTTAAAAAAATTAATTTTTGAACAGTTGAAATTAGGTCAAATTTGACGTAAATTTTTCATAGAATTTGTTTGGATATTTTATCACAAGAGATATATGTAAAAATAAAAAATGAAAAAATTTAATAGTCAAAATTAATCCTTTTTTTGTTATCTATGTTATTAAATTATTTCTGACATATAGTAAATAATAATTTTTGCATAAGTAAAGAAACAAAATACAAAGTTCGGGTAACGTATTTGCATAACATGGAACTTTAAAACGAAAATTTCTCTCGAGTGATATAAATTTTCGTTGAGTTTAATTGAACATAAGTATTATATATTCATCCTTTTTTTTCTTTCTCACTTTTTTACAGTAATCTATGTAAACCAATCGCAAAATATGCGGAAATTTATTCTTCAATCGAGTGTGCAGAAAAGAGATTAAATGGAAAATTGAAAGATTAAAAGATTGGAAGTATTAACAGACAACCAGAATGTCGTAAAAAGATAAGAAAAGCGTTTAACGAGAGAAAAATTGCTCTTATCAGAGAATAAAATGTAAAAAAGAAGATACAAAAAATGGATATACACCACGTTAAAGCTTTAATCGTGTGATTTTAGAAAGATATCAATTTGCTACAAATCATGTACTGAAAGAAAGATCAATTCCATACGTATGATATTCACGAAATAAAAATAAGTTTTATTTTTAAATCATGAAGGCAAGACACTGTCAGATATAAACGGTTCCATAAACTGTATTTTGAAGTTTAAAAAGAATCTTTTTATAAGAAATCTTTGAAGCCTGACCTATTTTTAGTCTCCAGCTTTAATATTCAGATCTTTATCTTTTCTTTTTTCTTCTTTTTATGATTAATTCTTATTTATTTTATAAGATATCGAATTGTAATCATACAACAGACATCTCATCGGATTGCGATCTTGCAATCTTACACGCAATCTGACACGATGCTTATTGCATCTACTATGATAATTAGTTGTTTTTTTGTTAACGCAATAATCGACGCAGCTTAAAAAAAAAGGCAATGTAAAAAGCGACACAAAAGCCGCTCTTTAACCGATACTTGTCACTTAATTGAGCGACACGTTCTTAAGATCTTTCTGAGTGCATTCGTGGAGTCAAAGATGAGCTCGTCGACGATTAAAGGATCAATAGTAGTTCGAGGAGAGATCGAAGGGGAACGTGCCGTATGTAAGAGCAGTCGAGGAAAAATGAAGGGGGTAGGGAATACAGGTAAAGAAAAGTTGCAGTTCAGTGCACCGCAGGAGAGAAGACGGCGCCTCTGAAGAGAAAAGGCTTCGAAATGCCAATTGGCAATTGACATTTATCGCGATCCCCGTCGTCCTAGACGAGATAATGAGAACTCTCTCGTCGCCCGGTCTTTCCTCGCCACGAGTGATTCGCGTTTTGCAATCGATGATAAGTTTAGAGGCCCCGGCGCCTTGGGTGATACGATATTTATGACACTCGGTTGAGGAAAGGTTCTTTGAAATTTCACGGGGGGCTTCAAGCGATACGTATTCATAAGATCGCGGAGACACGATCGCGGGGACTCGAGAAACGAGTACAACAATAATGTGAAATCGGATGTGATATCGAAACCAACGTCGACCTTTAAATTCGAAATCACGAGAGACGATGTATACAGTAAATGCGAGCGCTCCGTGAGATGACCTAGAAGTGCGGCGAAGGTATATCAACCATGTAATTTTTTTTCCCGGTTAGTCACTTTTACTCGGCGACCGATGAAAGATGGGGTCGATCGTGAAGATAACGAGGATACCCCTTCGGGCTCGCATAGGACACCTCGACAACGAGGCACGTAGGTCGAATAGGAAGGGGGAAGAAACGGAATGGAGAGGCTGACACACACACACTCTCTCTCTCTCCTCCTC